GAGAGAGAATTTTGTGGTGGACAGATTTGGTCTGAATTTACAAGTAGTTTGGCTTTTACAGTCTGTATTTCTTAAACAACCACCAGGAATCATGGTGTAACTTAAATCCAGGTGCACACTAAAAGCATTGAAGAGAGAAAATCCTGCTTTAAAAAAAATGGAGTAAAAAGGTCCAGGCCACGTTTTAGTGATTCTCCTCAGCAAATCCCTGTTGGGACTGGCTGCATTAAAGGCCAGGAGTGGGGGCCAGCTCTGTGGACTGAGCCATAGGCAGCCTCAGGGTGCTGATTGTGCTGTGTTTTGGATGTGTCTGGCCATGGGTTTTGGGACTCCTTGGCTGCCTGTGAGCCTGGAGCAGGAGAGCAGCAGCAGCATGTGCTGGGCCTGAGCTGGGGGGAGATAATGCTCTCCAAAACCACAATGCGCAGGGCAGGCTGCCATGCCAGGCACCTGCAGCACAGCTCCCCACCCACCTCTGGGCTTCCTCTCTTTCAGATGATGAGGCTGTGCTGGTCTGCTGCTGGGGGGCTGGGGGGGTGGGGTGTGTTCACTTGCCTGTCACTGGCAGTTGCTGTGAATTGGCTTCTTCTTTTCTTTTTATTCTTTTTCTCCCTTGCATACTTTAAAAAGTAAAAGGCCACGGAGGTTGTTATGGGGAGCTTGTGTGTGGATCCGTGGACATGTTTTTGGAGCAGGATAAGAGAGGTGTGCCAGCCTGCAGTTCAGGCATGTGGGTTCATGGACCTGCAGTGGCAGAAGAGAGTGCTTGGGCATAGAGAAAGGCAGAGCTTCATTGCTGGGTGGGAGGAGAGAAGAAGAAAGGAGAGAAGTCCAGGCTTTGGAAGGAGGAGGTGCTAGGAAGAAACTTCTTAATGGCAGAAGCACAGCTCAGGAAAGAGTCCCAGATGTGCTGGCAGGCACCTGGGGGTTGAGGCTGAGCTGGCAACCTTGTCACAAAATGCAGCAGTGTTCACCTAACTGACTTGGTCTCCTTCCATGCCTCCCCATCTGCTATGGCTCTGCCAATGCTTCCTCAGCCTGTGTCAACTCCTTGTACAAACTTTCTAAACTTTTCCTGCACAAGTTCCTTAAAAAAACCCACAACCCAATCAAAACAAGCAAAAGCATAATAACCTACTGCTGTAGGTTGCATAATTTGTTTCTTGTTTTCCTTAACAGCCTGGTCTATGAGTAAATGTTCCTGCTGTGCAACAGGAGGATCTAACTGTGCAGCTACTTGAGTAAGAGCACATGGTGAGCAGGAGTAAATGCAAACTTTGTAATTGTTATTCCTTCAAAGCTTGCTTCCCTCCTGAGCAAGAGCACCACTTTGACCTCATCCATATGCCCTTGTGTATTTGCATACTTGGAAGTTGACTTGTGACTCAATTCTTTTTTGATGCCTGGAGAGAGAGGGATGCTGTTTGCCCAAGCCACATTTATAAGCAGTAAGCCTGACATCAATTTACAATGCAATGTAACTGTCTTCCCCACTGTCTGTGACTTGACATTAGCTATGCCACGTTCCTGTATTTGCACATCTTGCTTTAAAACCCTGCTGTACTTTACTGGGCTGCTGAAATTTGGACTGGTAAACGACTGGTATATGAAAAGATGTTGTAACTTGCAGTAGGCACTTGGTAATCTGTAAGGTTAACAGAATGGAAATTATAAGTAAAATGGTCATTATTTGTGCTTTACTCTGCATGAGTCAGCTGAATGTGACTTCCCCTCATGTGTATTAGCTCTGCCCAGCTCCCAGCATCAGCACGTCATAGAATGGTTAGGGTTGGAAAGGACCATCAACTGCAGCAGTGCAGCCTTAGCCTCACCCCCCCAAACTGGGGTCTGGGACTGATGAGGTAGTGTATTTTGGTGGTGTCTGAGGGACTGGGCTTCTGGCTGTGCATGTTGTGCAAATGTTGAAGAGGCAGCAATCTCTCCTCTAGCAGTTTAAAACCCTAGAGTGATTGTGTTCATATGAATGGATGCTATCTGTTTTTAACTGTTTTAACTGCTAGTTATTCATTATGCTTCATACCTCTTTGACCTTTGTTTCAATAGGCTTTGAATGTTTTGCCTTTTTCTCTCTCTCACTTTCTAATCCAGAAAGCTGTTGCAAAGGTTATTATTGAGAAGGTTCTTTGCATCTTTTTTTTTTTTTTTCTTTTAAGAATACATAAATTAAACATGCTAAGGAAGGAAAAAACATAAAGTAATTAATTTTCTTGGTTTGTTTCTAAACACTGGACTTTATCATTGTCTTAAAACATATGTTTCTAGGAGCCATTGCAGCCGGACTATGTCTAGCAGGATTTCCCTCACTGAACAGCTTTAACCCATTGCCTGGGCTACTGGAGGTCAGAGTGCCTCAGATAAGCACCCCCTAGGCACTCTGGTTAACCACAGCTCACATGGAGCTACAGCTGAGCCCCTGCACTCTTGACTTCTCCTACATATACCTCTATGTCTCCTTGAGCATCTGGTCTGGGGAGTTTATTAGTTCTGGAGAAATACGGGACTGGAGATGACAGTGTGAATGTGCTCTGCTTTGGAACAGGAAGAGGAGAGTCAGGGCCAGGATCCTCAAAGATTTCCTCAGCAGCATCTCAGATACCCCCAGGCTTCGTGGCTCTGGCTGGCTCTGTGTGGGGCTGCTCATCTTCCTTACGTTGTGTTTCTGCTTCCGGACACATGCAGCTGGAGGCCAGGCTGCTTCACTGTGTGAAAGCAGCTTAATTACTGCTAGAAACAAATTGCCTCTGGGTGCTCTACAGCTGTATTTCCCCAATGCTGCATTTTAGCTACCAAATTTAAAGCAATTCACACTGGTTTTGTGTTGAACCAACTCTGGCATATAATACTGTCCTGTGACTGTTCAGAAGAAAAACACTAGGAAGTTAATCTCAGCTAGTTTGTTGGTTTAATACACAGTGTTGGCCAAGTAACTTAATCTCTGTCATTTACCCCCGAAATATGGGGTTTTATAATCCTGAAAAAAAAGAAAAAGTGGTGAAGGTTATTGTTTATAAAATGCTTTGAACCTTCTTTTTAAACCCATAGGAACAGAAGAGGAAGAAGGAAAATAATCTAGAATCTTATTTTTTTTCCATGGATTTGTTTCTAAACATATGATTCAAAACCAAAAAAGAAGAATGTGAGCTCATGGTTCAGCCAAGCAAACAAATATCCTGTTTGGGCATTGTTTTTTTCTGCTGTGTTAGGCTCTCAGTAGGAACAGTGATTGTATCATTGTCTGCTTGAGAATTTACAAATACATTACCAAGTACCCAGGCACAGCTCTTCAGTCATGTTTCATATAAATCGCGCAATTGAGCAGTGCGACAGGCCATCACCTTTAACTTCAGTTCTGTGAAGGAGGTTTCCTCACAGTGCTGACTGCCTGAATGTCAACCTGCAAGATCCTTCTAATGAAATAGTCAGCATGGCCTGACAGGGCAGGGAGAAACCCCAGTACTCAAAATGGTCCTGTTCTCAGCACTGGAGTAACTCACCACCATGCACTGCACTGGGTGGTTCAGCTATCCTCCATCACTTATGGTTAGTAAGAATTGCCATACTTTGTTCGCCTTAGGAAGGAGATGAATCATACCAATTGTTCCCCATTTATCTTCATCGAAGGGCTTCACAGGCTCTTGATCATTCTTTTGAACTCCCTCCAGTTCTTTTTACAAATCACATCCCAGATTAATTTGTAAGTGATTATTTTTTTTTATTTTAATAACTGTGCAATACAGCTTTTCCTTTGGGGATGGGCCTAGAACTGCATATAGGATCTATAGTTATATAGGCTGCTCGACCTGAATTGCTTTATTTTTTCTTTTAGTGACACTTAGGAACTTACTACATGTTTATGAACGGAAAGGCCGGTTTCATCAGTTTCAGCTGTTGGAGACCAACAATATTACTGTGACCTTCTATATGTGTCAGGGTATAAATACATGCAGTGTTAACATCATGCAATAAACATCAACATCTTCCATGTAACAATTTTACTGAGCTTTCAGTTAGGGTAACCGTAGATTTTCCACCTCAGGAAAGTTTTAATACTTATCTTAAATACAAAAAATAAATAATCCTTTAGGGGCAATCCATTCAACAAGAGGCAGCTGGTTGTGGCTCTTGTGCAGGGAATTCAGGTTTAAAACCTTCCTCTCAAACTGAAAGCACATCAGGGTGACTCATGGGTATCCCATGGATGTGTCCAGACATCCGGGGTTAGATGTCTGTCTCTCCTGCTCATAGTTTTCTTTGCAGGATTAATGGTCTCCAGCATCCCTAAACCAAGAGAACCCTCACAGAGAAGACTGCAGCTTTAAGGTTACAGTGTATAACCTGAGCTACAGAGAAGCATCTAAAATTCCTCTTATGAATAGTGATTTCAGGCTAGCTCTCCAGCCAACTATGGTGGTATCAATCTCTTTTTACATTTAACACAAAATTTTGTCCTAAGAAGACTTTCACTGAATTTTTGTCAAAACAGACACACTTTCTCACACACACAACATACGCACAAGTTTTAATTGGTAAACAAATCCCTAACCAGGACCAGTAATGAATCCTTGCAGGAGGTGCTGTTGGGTTTTCCCAGAAAACAAATGCTTTGTGTGAGGTTTTCTTGCAGAGACCTTGGTTATCTCCATGCAGATCTCCATGCAGGCTCTGCGGGTGGGAAACCCAGGGTAAAACGTCCTGCATTGGTTGAAGGAGGTCATGAGCATTTCTATCCTTGGAGATACTCTAACTCAGCTGGTTGGGGTACTGGACAGCCTGTTTAGAAGGAGGGCTGGACCTTTAGTGGTCCCTTCTCACGTAATCAATCCTATGGTTCTAATACAGATTTCCACCTCCTTTGCAAATGCACAGATTTGCCCTTATACTGACTATGTTTCACTATGCAGCACTGCCACGTTGATGCTGTCAAGCACCCAGTGATATAAGCAACCTTGTTTTTTGACGTATCTGATGTCTCTGTCCAGATGCTGTACCAGTTCTTGGGCTGACAGACCCAAGACTCTGCTACTTACTGGATGGATTCCTCTTCATTTATGCAGTCGTCATAACAGCTCTGTTTGTGAAGGCAAAGGTCAGTCTATCAAAACACTGATGCATTTGGCTTTGGGGTTGTAAACAAGTTGGGCTGAGCTGGAAAGTGGGGGTGGAGAGGAATCATGTCTTTTAGATTAAGACCCTTTTAAAATCTATTTTCTTTTTATTTTTTTATATTTCTTCCTTTTCTGGGGCCAACCTGAGCAATCTGGGGGCATTCTTCCTTGAGGTTCATGAGTGGTGGGGAAGAGAGTTTGTGAGAGTGTTTTGATACTATGGTTATGGATGAAGACAGAGATTCTGGATATTGTATCTGGGAAATGCCTGATTAAGAGTGACATGGTGTCTTCTACTGCTTTGTCACTGGAAAGAGAGGAGGGAATACACAGCAAATTCATGACAAATGCCAAGTTTGTGAAGGATATATTAAAATGTCTCAAGAAGTTAGATACTTTTGATAGTATGAGTGTGATGATGCAAATGATATAATCCTAACAACCACAGGAGTCAGGGGGACAGGATGGATGCAACTTGCTGGGCTGCCATTACCATCAACAGTAGCTGTTCTGCATCTAGGGAGACACTTAGTGGCTTTAGTGCACTTCCACAGAAGATGACATGACGGATATATGTATGTTTCCAGATATGTAAATGCTCTGAGAGCTCTGCTAATTATATGACAGGAGCTGTCCCACCAAAGGCTTAGGGACAGTAATGGCACTTTCATGAGGAAGGGGGTGGAGTGGGTAACATCTAGTTACTATAAATGTGTTTTTTAAAAACAAAGTCAAGTTTATCCTATGCCTAAATACAAACCTAGCTAAAAGTTAGGGTGGCTGCTTACGAGTTGCCCTGTTTCTGATGCAAGTAACTTGTAGGAGAGAGGGTACGAAAGGACTGAATGGAGCCACTGTCTCTGCTTACAGCATACTTTCTCTTCCAGCTTAGCCAGGCCTCTGAATATCAGCTGCAACCAGGCCAGGATGATGTGTATAATGTAAGTAACTACTGATTGTTTTCAAAGTCTTCTACTCAGACAGACTTTTGGGGGCACTTACTTAGAGGGAGTAATTGCTTGTGAACCAGATGACCCAGCTAATCAAAGAACTATACCCAAGCATGCAGCACAGCAATTGCAAGGAAGAAAGATAAAACACAGCAAGGGCAACTGTTGTCACATATCTGGCTGGATGCTAGATGGGTACATGGATTGTAGGTTCCTGATTTGATCCACTGAGCAGAAAGTATACCAGAAATGCAGACCATTTCAGAAGCACTGCTCGGTGTGCTGCGCTGTGCAACATGCCTGAGAGAGCATGTTGGACAGAGTGTATGCAGCCACCAGGCTTTTACACATGATGTGCACACCCCAGTTTCTCACCTGGCCCCCTGCAGTTGGCTTGCAGCTCTCACTGACTGCTGCTTCTCAGGCAAGTCAGAGGTGTTGCCAGTGCTGTTTGATGTGTGCTGGAGAACAGGCAAATGCCCAGGAATGCTTTGTTACTGACTTCATGCAACTGTAGCTCTTGTACAATGAAGTGTGCAGAGCTTGAGTCACCACAGCCCAGCTGTCCCAGTTCTGAGCTTTCTTGTTTCCCTGCCCAGAGACCTATTGTACCAGATCATACCTGAGCTGTACCTCATACACTGTACCCTGATCATCGCCAGCATCAGATGGCTTTTTAGGAAGTGAAAGAGGACAGAGACAGTATCCTGAATGTCCTTCATAGCTAAATAGTTCACTCATGGCAGCATTAAACTCTGCTATTTTTGCTATGTTTAGCTGTCTTGCGATTTTTATTTTTTCTCTCACGCTTTTGACCATAGCCACATCCTGTAACAAATTCTGCAGTTTAACTGTAATGTACGAATACTAATGTGTGTTATTTTCAGTTTAAGAAGTGTTGCCCATTCCTTTTTAGTAGCACTGTCAGCTGACCTGAAAGCTCTCCTTTGCCCTTTTCCAAGCTAACTTTTCCCAGCTAAGAAATGTGTTGACCATAAAATATCTGTAGCTTATTGTTGCAAATCTAAATGAGCCACTTTGCAAGAAAACTCAAGCTTGCAGATCTTCACCCACCCACCAGTAGGAGAGAAAGTGTGAATGTCAGTGTCCTCCCCAGTTGTGTGCTCTCATTTCTACTAAAGAAAGATTCTTGAGACAATGGCTTGTGCTTTATGCTGCACAGGCCACTAACTGCCATGGCTTAGTCAGAGACATTTCTGTTGACAATTGCATTAAGGCATAAAAAGAATTTTGAGCTCAGTTATAGTACTCATTAAGTTGGACACCAAAAGGTGTTCCCTTCTTTTTCTTTAAGTCAGGATCTGTTTTCTCATGATCACAATGTCTGTCACTGCTTCTTGCTTTTTTTGTTTCAGAAACTGTCTCGAGGGCACAGAGATGAATATGATGTTCTGGGGGCAAAGCGAGGTCCAGACCCTGAGCTGGGTGGGAGACACCAGGTATCTTCCTCTCACACAAGCACCTTTTAGTATGGTTCCTTCCTTCTCCCATCTACCACTGTTTGACATGCAGGAAATGATGCCTTCCTGGAGAGGGGATGGCAGAATCCGTGTAGTAACTAACTCCAAGGCTGTCAGCATGGTGGGGACAGGAGTAAAACTTCCTCCTCCCCTTTGCTCTTCTTCCCTTGTTGAGCACTGCAAGCCACCCAGATTAGGAAGTACCACCCAGCCTCATGCCGGATGTGAAGCAGGGCAGGCAGCAGTGGGTGTTTCGCAAGAGCTCACTGCACATGATGCCACCAGACAAGTGTCAATGGAATAATACAGCAGTGAAAAAAACTCTTGTCTTTTGCAGAGCGCAACAGTTTCAAAGGAGAAGGGAGGGGAAACCTGCATCAGTGTGTAGGGTTTGCCTGCAGGTGGCAGCGGCTGGAATTGGACAGAGAAGCACTAAATTTTATCAATTATTTTAATGAAATTAATTTTCCAGAGCTTATGGGTGGAGGCAGGATGGGCTGTAATGGGCACAGCCTGACCACAGAGCTGTAGCTGTGCCTTTGAACAAATGCACAGGCACGTACAAAGTGGTGGGGGATGCTGGTGGTAGTGCAACATGCGGGCAACTTTCTTTTTTTGTTTTACAGCAGAGAAGAAAGAACCCTCAGGACACCGTCTACACTGTGAGTAGAGTTGGAGGGAGAGGAAAGGGAGGGATGGCTGGAAACAGGACTTATTATGTCATAGGACACTTATTTCCCCCTACCCAATTTCAGCTTTGGTTCAAACTTTGCATCTGCTTTCAAAGACTTCCTTCTACTCCCCAGTTTTGCTAGAAAAATATGTTTCACTTCTCTGTGAGAAAAACATTGAATGCCTGTACAGATGGGGAAAAGAATTTGGATCAAGACACCTGCTGATCCCTTTATGTTGGCCATTATTGCCTAACCAACCTTCATCCCACGTGACTGATGCTGCTTGTTCTCCAGCCTCTCTGGCTGCTGTCTGACAAAAGCCAAATCCCAGTGTGTCTAAGAGCGGCTGCTTAGGCATCTCTTGTTATAAGTGATTTAACTGTGGCTAAATTGGTGGCCTGTGCTGCAAGGGAGCACAAATGTTAATAATTTTGTCTTAACTTGGGTCTTTTTGGGTGTTCAGTGCTTGCTTTATTATTGAATCAGCCACTCTGATCGCAGCTGGTCACAAGCATTTGGGGACTGCTTTGCCAGACGAAGAAAGGAAAAGCTCCCCTTTCTTAACCTTCACCCTGCAGTGTTAGATTTCCCTTTTCTCTAGGCCTGAGCTGCATGTTTATGTTTGTCTCCTAAACAAATACTACTTAAAACTTTTCTTTGGAGAGCTCTGACTGTAGTATCTGGTGCTGGTCTAGATAAATGGCTTGGTGGAGGGTTGAGTTATGTTCACTTTGGTGTCTGGAGATGAGGTGATATTGATATGCTAAGCAGATGTGATCATGTATAGCATCTATGCAAATGCACGTTGGTCAAATCCTACCACTGTCCCTTCTTCTCTGGAATATAGTGAAGTTTTGAAGGCAAGGCAGCCCCAGAAGCACAGGTGTGGTATGCAGTCACCAGCAGCTGGTTTGGCTTTTCTCATAACACACTGACTCTTTCCCTTTCTCTGCTTGTAGTCGCTGCAGAAGGACAAGATGGGAGAGGCATACAGTGAAATTGGAATGAAGGGTGAGGTAAGTCCTACTTTCCTTCCTAATGAAAGACTGGGATGAAAAATTCTTCATTCCTTCTCCCTTACAGAGCAGTAGCCCTGGCTGCACGTATCTGCCTCACACAACAAAGTCCTTGTGTTGCACATCGCTTACAGGCACAGCTGAGAGTAGTTACCTATTTCCTGTAGTAACCACTATGTTTGATATAGCAGTAACTAAGACATGTAGCCATAGCATTAAGCCGCCACAAACCAAGGTGGAGATCAGATAGTAAGCTTGGTTCCATCAGCATTAGAACACAGCCCATACTCTGGCAGTGTCCCCATGTGCATTGAATAATGTCAAGGGAAGCCATGTCAACTTTTGGGCAGAATACTTCTGACAGCTGCCCCAGCTGAAGAGGCAGAGGGTATGAGATGGGTGAGGAACAGTTGAAGGAAATGTCTGGTTTCAAGCAGTGAAACATCTGTGGCCAAGCAACTCACAGTAGTTGAGCATGTTCCTCTAGAGACATTCAGAGCCAGAGATTCATCGTTTCACCTCTGGCTGTTGAGGCTGGCCTGAACGGTAGGCACAACTAACCATTTGCAAGCTCCTCCTTGTGCATGGTTTCAGACAGGTAATGGGGAAAACATTCTGCTTCTTCCACCTCCACTCTTCAGTGTTTAAGAAGGTACACATTGGTTAAGTCTCACGCTAGCAGCAAACAGTTTTAGCTGTGTGCGCAAACTGCTGGGGGAGGGAAGTTTGTGTTGAAAACCAACCATCTGGAGACACTGCTTATGGCAAAATGGAAAATTGATGTGACCTACACAGATTCTATTTTATGTCAGTGTTTTATATATAAACTTGCATTTCCCCCTGAAAAACATAAAGGGTCCATTTCAAAATGAAGTTTAGTGATGAGAAATGCTGAAGTAACACTGACATTTAATGCCATCTCCTTTTTCTATTCTAAAGCCTCTGTGCCACAGCCAAGCTCAATTTATGAGCCACGGGTTATGAAGTTACACCATGTTTTCATGACTTTTTCTATTACTGAGCGGACGGGATCACCAGAACCCTTGCCTCATTTTGATTGTGTGATCATTTACCAGGCTCCTGCAGTTTCAGTTGTGGCAGGCACTGCTCCTTGCCCCGTGCTCATGATGTGGTCAGTGCTTTGCTACAGCTTGATGTGCCAGAGTCCAGCCAGGGGCTGTGAGCTTGGCTGTCATCATCCTCACCTGGACCACAACTTAGCCACCTTGCTTGTCAGCTCCCAGTACTCCTGGGAATGCAGCAGCAAGTGGGCTCAAGGAGAAGGTTTTTCTTTGTACCTGCCTGGTCTGAGTGACCTTGTTTCTGTGTGACTTGTACCATGCCAGTCCCAGTACCTGTTCTATTGAATCCTGGATGACTATGTCCTAAGACAGCCTTATCTGTGGTTCCTTTGAATATCTGAAGAGTTTATAAGATGTGTGCTTGTGAATTTACTTACTAATGTCTGTCTAATAGAGGCAGATTCCGTCAGACACCAGCTGACATACAGCAACTCAGAAATACAGCCCCATTTCTTTCAGGTGTGCCTTCAGTTCGTAAAACAACCAGTGGCTGTAGGAATGCTGCCAGATCTCCATATATAGAGTAAATCAAAGAAATAGCAGCATTATAACAGTATGACAGTAAAATACGTCAGAAAGCAAAATAATTTCCTTTTACTTCCAATCCTTGCTATTTTTTCCTTCACAGCCCTTGCAGTGTGTCTGCGCTGGTCCAGACTTTACAGGTGCTTCACCTCCTGTGCAGAGGGGTGTCCAGACCAAGCCCAGCTCATAGTGACCCTTACTATGGGATGGCAGCAGGCAGGGGTTTATTTCCTTTTGTGTAACTGGGAAAGCACCCATAAATCTATGCTGCTTTTTTCTTTTCCAAAGCAGCAGAGACGGCGAGGCAAAGGGAATGATGGCATCTACCAGGTAGGTAACACATCCAGCAACTGCTCCCCTCATCTGTCCTCATGGCTTAATTGCAGCCTGTAGTTACAGATCTAACAGCACTCCTATAGGTGCATGAAGCAGAGCTTTCAGTGCACCTTTCTGAGGATAGTTACTCAGATTCAGGGCAAAGACCACACTGCTGGTACTTTGGTAAAGCACCTGTATGTTCTAAATACAAGTGGCAGGAACACTTGTTTAGCTGCTCTGGTAGGAACCATTTCCACATTCCTACATCTTGGAGAACAACCTTTTGACTACAGCAGGTGACATGTAACCTTTCTGCCTCTAAATTGTTTAATGCTTTACAATGGAAACCTTCAGGTTGCCAAACAGCAGTCATAGGCTGAGCCATTGAAGCTTTGAGCTATCTCAGTCACATACAGAGCACATGTGGGTCAGCACTCCGAGCACCTTGGTGCCTTGGCAGGGTTCAGTGGTGCACACAGCTCACTGAGGGCAAGGAGTCTGTCAATAAGGCCTCATTTTGGCTGCCAGGCATTAATTGCTCCAAAATGCATTTTACTTTCTGTAGAAGCCTGCACATTGCCACTCATCTCAAAATGACAAAATCAAATATATATAAAAATCTGCTTCTGATGCAGCACATGCCAGGAAGTTTTCCCGTAACATGGCATATTTGTAGCTAATGGCACCTGTCTTCAAAACCTGCCTACTGCGATAGTAAGAGGCCGCTGATAAGCATCACTTGTCTCATCCATGTCCTCATAGGCCGCTAAACACTCATAGCAGAGGAGTGAAGGTTAGCTATGTTTTATTAGCAGGAGTTTTACCTGTCCTACTAAGCTCTTGCTCTTGGAAGCCCCCATTACCTCTGCACTTCTGGCAGCCTCCTGGGCTGACGTTACCTGCAGCTCTGCTACATCTGCTGCCACCATGCTCTTGGAGGAGCTGGTTCCACAGCAGCAACATGGATCTGTAACTTGTATGTTAACACTCGCTTCACCACCACCAAAGCAGGCTGGCAGGAGAAACGCTGCATTGCAGGAAGGGCTATGAGGGGATGCTTCTTGTGAGTCACAGTGATCTGAAGCCCTGCTGCCAACTTACCCAGCATTGCACCTGACTTCCCTTCCAAATTAAAGAGAAGTCCAGAGAACAAAGCTCATGATTTGATAGTTAGTTGTTTAGTTAGCAAAGTTCAGTCTAGATTTGGTTAGCTTTTAATAGTCAATTATATGCAAATAAAATGTACTCTTAAGGTCTGCATAGTGAGTTGCTGTAGTCAGTATGCTCATAACAGTTACTCAGGATGTGTCCTGCCTTCGGGTAACTGATGGCTGTTGACACCATACAAAGACTAAGGAGTCACTCATGAGTAAAAACCTCTGCAGGAAAAAAAAAAATTAGCATTATGCTACTGCATCCCAGCCACCCCGTTTCTGACCAGTCAGATGGGAGACTGAAGCAGTCGATGTGCACCTTACCTGTTTCTTCTCTTTTTCAGGGACTCAGTACAGCAACCAAGGACACGTATGATGCTCTTCAGATGCAGCCTTTACCCCGCCGCTAAGTGGGAATCACAGAGGGGTGGGCAGAGTGCAAGATGCCCACCTGCTTTGGGGAGAGGAGGGGAAGAGGGACAGCCTTTTCCATCCACAATAAGCACCGTGTGTTTTCTCAGTGCAACAACCTACTGGTTGGTGCAGAGAGAGTATGGCTGGGCTTGGTCAGTCCCTTCTCCCTTCCCTCCTGAACCATATAACCACAGGCTTTAGCTAGTAAAATGTACATACCTGTAAAGTTGATTCCAGTAACAGTGGTTATTAGGCTAATTTTTGAGAGATTCATGTTGTGGGACCAGCCCACACCTACTAACACAGCTGTTTCCATTGCTCTTACTCACCTTCCAGGAGTATCAAGATGAGTAATTATGGTTTTAGTGCATTTAAAGAACTTGTAAAGATAGGACTGTAGTTATTTCCTTTAGTATTTATCTTAAGCCTATTTGACACAGGCCAGATAAACTTCCTGCTTTAAATCTACCTTTTAAAAACTGCTTCAGTGGAAGACAACTTTTTAAACAGTAAAAAGCGAGGTAGTGTTGCTGTAGCAAAGGACAGCAGCTGAATGGCAGCTTTGCAATGTGAAGAAAACACACTAAGCTCCAAGAAAACATCTAGCACTGGCATTGCCACTCATCTGGGACTTGGAGCGAAACAGGAGCCTGCATAAAAGACTTCTCAGAATGCAGACGATTCCTTGTTACAACAAAGCCAGGAGAACAGGCCTGTATAAAGACAGTAATATTAGAAAAGCCAGGAAAACTTGCCCTGGAGAATCCCATTTGGCTGAAGGGCTTTACCTATCACTGCAGACGAGGGCCCCCTTGCAAGGATTGGGCTGGGAACTGTCATGTCAAAACCAGTCCCAAATTATCACTTCTGGCCAACAAAAACTGTACAAAAGCCACTGTAAATGCAGTTTCCAAAACAGTCCATCACCAAGTTACCTCTAAAAGCACTGCAGCTGTCATTCCAAAGCGATACCGGTTCAATCATGTATTTTCGAGGAATTAATAAAGTTTGTCATAGACCTGGGTGTGTGCAGGTGTGGTGGAGAGCTGTGGGAAAGGTTCAAGCTATGATAACGTTGCTACTGACTTATGATGTTCTTGATGCAAGAATGAAGAGTACTGAAAACAGCTTTCTTTTTTTAAAATGGCGACAACCGTATTTGCAAGATGTAGAAGTCACAAGCTTTGGCAGTCATAAAATACCAACCACTGAACAATGGGGAAGAAATTCATAGGGAGGTGAGGGGGAAATAACCTTTAAGCTCTTTATATATAAATGGAACTCGCATCAAGCAGCATCTGGTGGTTGTTTCGAGGACACTCACGGTAGGCATGAGCTGAGTCTTCTCTCTGCCTTCAGGAAGGAACTGAAGCTGGTTTTCTTTTAGGAGAGGAATTGATAACACAAAAGTACAACAGACACTTCAAGTGGTGTGCAAAGAAACCAGGGGTCTTCTCTGGTTTGACAAGACCAAGAGCATAACCGAACAATGTGCTGCCCAGTTTGATGCACTGGGAGAAGTGGACTTAGCTTTCCTACCCCAACAAAGTTAAAAAAACTACAAACAAGTGCATATATGTTAAAACACTTGGAAAATGGTTTAATGATGTTTACAACAGAAATGAACTGTACAATTACAGTAAGTTTAATATATATAAAAAATTACAGCAGACAAATGCATCTACACAAAATCTACCTTTTCATTCTGATTTACTGTAATCTACACAATCTCTCAATGCCTACAGCTATCTGTAGGCAACCACTGGGAAAATAATAATATAATAATAAAGGACATCTTTAAAGAGACAGCATTTTGCCTTCCATCTCACCCCTAGTGTGATCAGCAAGGTTTTGAAATGTGCAGGACTCCCATTTCAGTCTCAAGAAGAGCTTGGGTTGTGCTTGGGAATGGGTATTCCCACACGGCCCTTCATTTCAACTGTTCTGCTGACCTGACACCCATAGATGCAATGTCAGAGGAAGGGTAAGCAAAATAAACCCTCCCAGCCAGTGTAAGCAGCTGCACAGAGCAGTGAAACCATCAAGTCCCACAGTTTGTCTTAAGCAGAAACAAAGTGAAAAGGGACTGCCTAGGTGCTACAGGCACTCACAGATCCTCACCTCTCTGGAAACCCTTATTGGCTTTAGAAGAATGGGCTTGGTTTTCCACTCTCCATTGCTTGTGCAAAGGGTCAGTCTACAAACTAATGTATTAAATATTGGTTTTATAAATCAAAATTTAAGCTACTTCTTCTTTGGCCCATCCCTTAAAACAGTGAAAACCCCTTTCTGCTTAGAAAGACTCTCAGGTCAATGGGGAAAACAAAAAAACATGCTGTCTCTTTAAAAAGAAAGAATCCCAGTTAGGAGTGGCCATCAGTGAAAATGTGATCCAAATTGGTGGTCTGGTGGAAATTCCTCATGGAATATTATGTACAGTTTAAAAACTCTTAGTTGTTGTATTTATTTATTTATGAACACCTAGGCAGTGAAAACTGTTAATACATACATAGACACACCCAAAACATACAAAAATACTATTATTTCAAACTACTAAGAATAGGACAAGTTCAGTTTTCTCCATGCTATGACTTTAAGAGCATTACACTGAAACAAACAAGAATTTAAACAACAATTTTTTAATATCCCAGAAATATACCAAAATATACATCTAAGCTTTGGAATTACTGAGGTTAGACTAATGCAAGTGCTGGGTAATTGTACTTAATACACAAGTCTAAGGTTCTGCAGGAAAGAAATTATCTTTGGTATCTGCATCAGGCTAATAATATTAACATTTGGATTTTGCTTTGGGATAGAGCTTGTATGACCCTAGAACCAAACACCCCCCGATCAACTGAGATTAAAAAGATCCATGTAAAAAGTTCCTCCATTTGCACCCCCCCAAAAGTTAAAAAGTCATAGGCATCTACCTAGCATAAAAGGTTGAGAAATACAATGCATAGTTGCACAGTGGTGCTGCAAAAAGAAAAGAAATCTAGAAAAAAGGAAATAGAGGAGAAATTAAAAGCTGCTTTTCCTTCTTTCAGGGATTTCTCACACAGGACAGCCTCTTCCAAGCAGTGACAGGGGGAGGGGGGAAGCTCAGAAGTGCACCTCAGCGTGTATTAATCAACATCACCCAGCCCCCAGAGGGTTAAAACACCCAGCAGAGCAGCCAATCCTGCACCCAAGTCTTCAGCTCCTCAACCCACCTGTGAAGCCCAAGGCTGCCCTCTCCCAGCACATGGGCCCATGAATTTGTGCCCAGGGCATTCCGGAGGCTGGCCCAGGGCAGCATCCCCTCACCTGGGGCAGCCCCTGAGCCAGAACTCAAAGACCACTGCCCTGGCCAGGCCTGGCCTCACAGGTGGGCTTGGTGCTGAAGACACCCTTCGTCTTTGGCTTGTTTGTTTGTTTTGAGTTTATACAATCATTAGGAAATCTTTGGTTTTGGCTGGAAATTCTAAAAGAACAGAACAAAACAAAGAAACCTCTCCCTCCCGACTTATAGCAGCCTCCGTGACCTGACAAAGCTTCTCTTTCCCATGGGGGTAGGGAAACTACATTCAAATAAAGATGGATCCAGTTAAGGATGCAGCTTCTGGCCAGGTTGGGGAGCAGGGGAAGGAATACAGGATTGTCAAATAATAAAGAAGAAAATTAAACATTTTGAGATTTTTTTTCTTTTTCCTTTGTTTTTTTTTTTTTTGCTTTGTTTTGTTTTGTTTTTGTTTCTTGTTTTTGGTCATGTTAAAAAGTGAGTAGCGTGTACACAGCACTGGGCCAAGCACGCCTCCAAGCCCTGGAGCTCAGTGCAGCCCCGCTGCCCCAGCATGGGAAAGGCAGCACAGGCAGCCTTTTCCTGTGGACAGTGGAGGGAAGGGGGTGGATATTCACAGACTAATCAGGAGGACCCCTTGTAACCAAAGGAAATAAAGATACAATTGCAATTTGCCCTCACTTTGCAGTAGCTTTTAAGCAGCAACATTCAGAGGCGTTAGGGGGTCACTCCTCAGGTTGCAGGTCACGGGGTGCTATAGGCCAGAGTTCTGAGTTAATCAAAGGAGGGATGGCAGACTTGGCAACTCTGTAGGGTTTGGAGAAAGTTAAAGCAAGTTACTCAGTTACGAGTTAGAAATGAGGTATACGACAGCTCCTGTACCTGTGGCGGATAAACACCCCACACCTACTCACACCTAGCCTTAGATACTACCACAGAGGAAGGAAATGGAACAATAGCACCAGCAGGAATGAAGCAGCTACCACTGCCCAGGTCCTTCCCACAGACGGCTGGCATGCAAGGCACCCGTGGGGACCAGAGCTGCCCAAGACCCTGAAAACCACCCGCTGGCAGCTCTGCAGTGATCCCTTCCCTTCCTGCCTCACATGGAGGCCCATGCTGACTCCCCAGAACTCATGGGGAGTGGTGCTGATCTCCAAGTTGTTCGCGTTGCGCTTTCCCCTCAGACTCGCTCAGGTGCAGAAAGCACCAGGATCACAGAGGCTGACACGTGGAGAGTGAATGAGGGAAGAACTAATGGGTTTGTCTCAACAGCCTTGCTATCAGGACACTGTCACGGGTGCTCTCGCTCAAGGGGGTTGTGCAATTTGCATGGTTTGCCCCTTGGCATGCCATTGCCATGGTCTTGGGAGACCTTCTGTTTTAATCATTTCAGATTTCTAGAGCACCATGGCATGCCAGCTTCATCTGCACACAACACTACCACATTCAGGGAACAGGGCTTAAATAGCTGCTGCTATACAATTCAGCAAAGGCAGTACGAATCCTGAAATCGGGTCTACAACAGATGAGAGAATTTGGGGAGGAAAGGGGATGCTAATGTGACAAATTAAGTATCTCCTGGTTTTATGTAAAGCTCTGCCAGTGAACATACATACACCAGCAGATCGACACAGTTTTAAGACAGATCAGCATTTTGTTCTGAGCTACTTGACAATGTCCTTATTGGTAGAGAGATGAAATAAGGCAGAGGGGGTATGTTCCAGTTCTGGGGCTGAGCCTCAGCAGCACTAAGGAACGTCAAAGGGTATCATCTTCCCTCGCCTCCCACAAGCTGTTTCATTTCCTTCCTCAGATTTGTTTTCCTTAAAGCACACTTTGTTTTCCACTTCTTTTGTTCCAAGTGCTCTTGTCTTTGAGAAGTCATTTCTTCAAAATCCCTATTACCTATCTATAAATCTAACTAGCTCTTTGAAAAGTCACACAATATTAATACCACTTTTACATAATTCAGAACAACTACTTTATTAGTAAAGCTTTCAGTGAAGTTCTGCAACCAACTGGTGTCTGGAGGAAGAGTAGCTGGACAACCAACCTCTCCCCCTTCCTTCCTCCCTTTCTTCACAAGAGCTCACTGATAAAACAACTCAGCCCAATAGCACAATACATGAACATGTACAAGGGTACTTTGGGGAGCAAAGAAAGGAGTCTTCAAGGTCTCTCCCATAAGAGAAAGACCATACACAAAAGCTGTTGAACAGACTCTGACCTTGGACTACACTGCTTCCACATTTGAAGGAAAGAAACAGTTTTCCCTGACTGTATCCCAACATCAGCCTCAGACCTGCAGCACTGGGAAAGTCCCCACACCATTTGTCACCACAGAGCCAAAGCAACTCTGTGCAGCAAAGGCAGGAGCACCCACAAGAGACAAGGTCCTTACAGGAAGGGACACTGACCCAAAGCTCAAAACCACCCCACCCAGCTTTTCCTCTTACCCGCTCTGAGAACAGCAGAGCTGACAACTTATCAGTGCCTTTGGTTCTCTACGAGGCCACTGGGAATTCACCCGCCTTAGTGTAGTTGAGCTCCTTTGGAAACCCACTTCTCCTGACTACCACGCACAGCCAGGCGCACACGCTTGCGCACACACGCACCTGCACACACATCCATGCACACCCCTCCCTTCTCTCATTCCGTCCACTTTGAAAGGAAATGAGAAGGGAGCCTTGGAGTCCAGACTGAGGGGGCTGCAACACCCTCCCAAGGCAATAAC